AAGTTAAAATAAAAATATATAACGGCTGCTATGTAAGCACAGTGTGCCCAACATTTAAAATAGGACTTTCTAGAAGGAATGCCGCGAAGGTGCGAAGAGACAAAATGATATAAAGAATATGAGATGAAAGTAAAACAAGGACCTTTCGGCTAAACAAGAAATGTAAACTTACCGTGCCAGAAAGACCCGCATGTAAACTGTTCTGCATCTTCATTGCTTCTACTACTGCAAGCTCTTGTCCTTCGTGAACCTGTCAAAACAGAGTAGACTATGACTTATGCAGCAGTTGTCTGTAGTGTTAAAAGTAAATTCGGGATCCCTTAACTAAGACCATCAACCTTCCAAGTTTCTTATAGATTGCAGCTGGGAGTTTCTATCTGAAATAGGACATCTGACCACAACTACAAGAATTCTTCATTTTGTTGTTTTCATGCGTAAATTGAGGCTACTGGTTCATATATCTCAGTGGCACTGACAAATTTTATTGAGGAAACAAAAACGAAATGAATTCTGTTAGTTGTAGATAAACCTTCGTCATCGTGAAAATGGCCTATTGAGCACTGGCGTTGGAACCATAGCAGGCGCCGTTATTTAAGGGCCAAGGGAGAAATTTCGAGGATGCGCGCACGCAGGAGAAGGAGAAAAAAAGTGCGCGCGCTCGTGCGCTCTATAACAACCAACGCCGAAGAAAAACTAACCGGCGTCTGCCACGCAGGCTCCGTTGAACAGGAAGAGGTTACTTAAAAAAGAATCTACAACCGACCTTGTGCGGAAGATAAGTTTACAAGAAATAGGATGGTAGTAATGTTACGGCAAAATAAAGAGCAACCAAAATTGGACACTGAGTTTTAGTCGTAGCAGCTTCAGCCTCTCAAGTAAACGTTTTTTTTGGCTTGTCATGCAATCCTCTTCGTGGCGAAGAAAAGCGAGACGAAGCCCTGAGAACGTGTTCGTGGGACGCAATAGCAGCTTCGGCCGCGGAGGTGTTTATAAGAGTTTCAAGTAGAGCTAACTCTTGGTGACATTTCCCCTTAAAGGTCAATGAAGAGTTAACTGTTTAGATTGACATGACTTACCTCGTCTCCAACACTGACAGCAACTGACACCACTGTGCCAGGCATGGGTGACTTGAGGAATGGAGACATGTCCTCCTGAAAAATTATAGACGAGGAAATTAATTTTCCACGATATAAATATTCAGTGAAACCTGTATAAAGCGGACAAGAGAGTCTGTAAGTCTCAAACTCTTCTCCCTATGCTTTCTGAAAGACAAAGAGGGTTCTCCAATATTAAGGTAAAAAGGAGAAAAAATTTAAAGAAATAAACCTTCCCCGCATTCCGCTCCAGTGAGCAAGCATAAAGAAATGAGGTCGAGACAGTTTCATACAAATCACTGCATTTCCTCCACTCGAGCCTTGACTTGATGCCTTTGTTTACAGGAATACGGCAAAGGTCTATGCAGACAAGATCATCACACTTAAATAAGCAACTTATGCAGTTGCGAAAAGAGAATGCCTGAAACAAATTCAGGCTTGCTGGGATTTTATCTTGACCTCTTAGAGCGCTGCACCTGTATCACAGAGGTCAGGGTTCGAATCCCGCGGCAAACCTAAATTTTCCCAGCCTTTCTTTTCGCATTTGTTATCATGTTTTCATACAACAAAGTAGAGACCTTTAGATTCTAAGACGAGAACAACTACGAGTACGAGATTTAACTTGAATTTTTTTTGGCGTATTCTCAAAGTACAGACTCCCCGGAAAGCTTCATTTTACCTTTATTCACTAGAAAAGTTAGCACTGTTACCTTTAGCGAAGCAGGTTCGCCCTCTTCCGATCGCAAAGTGATAAAACTTCTAACATTTGATAACTTGTTTTCGCCACTTCGACATTCTCGCTAAAACTCGTAGTAGAATGACGACGGCTATTACGTTTTCCCGCCAAAATGACGCTGGCTCACGCGCGTGCACTTGATAAAATCTCGCACACGTGGTCGTATTCGTCTTAAAATCTACAGCTTTCTTTAAGGAGCAAATACGACAAATTCATCACTGTCATAAAACAGTGGCCTCGCACCTCTTTAGAGCAGGCTTTAGAGCGTCTAGTTTCATTACCCCTATATGTCGCACCTCTTCGTTTTGTTTTGGGGATGGGGTTCCATTTTTAACTTTCTTTGTCCATTGTTTACCCAAAATGTACTGGTATCATTGATGTAGCCCTCGCTAAAACTTTAAGGGGCCAAAATAAACTCCTCGAGAAAAGTAGCTATTCCATCAGTTCTCATCAGCATTTCTCAACTTTTGACAGGAACAGAGGAGGCAGTATAAGAAGAAAAAGATGAATTTCCCATACCTCTTTAATCTCCGGCATGTACTTCATGTATTCGTACTGATCTTGTGTGTGTACTCTGAGCTTGTACTATGACAAAAAGAACACGGATTATAAATCTTTCTGAAGAAAGATACTCCCTTTGCAGCAGGCCCTTTTCATTTAGTACCCACCGTTGTTCCATAATGCTGGATTTTAAACAGATTCCCTTCCTTCTTTAATGTCTGCAAGAAAAAGAATACTGCTTTATACTAACTTGTCAAACCATCATGAGTAATATAAGAGGATAAAAAAAGGAAGTTGCTATCGTTCATAAGGTTTAAAGATTTACGGCTTGCCATTCAGTCAAGCTGTAGCTACCAAGTATCAGTTAAAAGTCATTTCAGCTGGCCTAAAAAAGTTTTTTTAATGAGTAGGATTGATTATGTTGCTAGCATAGAATTTCTTACAGAATTATTGACCATTCGAGAAGCTATTTCGAACACTCGGCTGAGTTTCCACTCATCGTATGCAATGAAATTTGTAAGTTCAAGAACAAGCTCTGAAGAACCAGTTTGAAAGAGTTTGTGCGCTCCAGATCGAATTGTCCTTTCAAGTGGACGTGCTGGCTTTTTAAGGGATGGAAGATGAGATGGAACAAAACCTCACGAAACAAGGGATAGAACTCATAACATGACTCAACCCACACATGACATCAACGCCGGCACTTGGACCCAGGCCACATTGGTAGGAGGTGAGTGCAGGTAATGTACCACACTTACTCAGTCTCCCAAGAACCGATAAGCCTGCCTGTGGCCTTCTAAGTGTCCTCAACTAATTGAAGACACTTTTGAGGTCACATTTTACAATAACTGAGTGATTTCTCAAGTGCTAATTGGTCAAAACCTTTGGTCAATAGGACTACAGACAATGAAAATAACGTGATGGTGGCGCCGTTTGCTTTCTCTTTTCTTGGCTTCGAACAACTCGCCTGCAGCTCGTTGTTCCGCTTGAGCTTTGAACATTCTGAGGTCATTTCTATGGTCGATAAGAGTACAGTCCACGGAAAATTGTTCCAATTTGATAATTGGAATTTGGAATGTTGGCTTTTGGGGAAAAGAGAAAACCGGAGTACCCAGAGAAAAAAACTTCTCGGACCAAGGGAGAGAACCAACAGCAAATTTAACCCTCTCCCGGCCTCGAAGTTAGTCTAAAACCGCTTTGTTGTTGTAACTCACTTTTCTCTGTCTGGAATACTCGGATGAGACACTGCATGACAAAATGGAAACGTTATCAAAATATAATATACGATTTGCCTTTAAGGTCACAATCACATTACAGGAGTGAGTGAGCGGCAGTACACAAGGCACCCTATAGATCACCTAGGAAATACTGCTAATGATGTCATCTTTAAAAGAGCATGGCTCTATTCTTACCTGCAATAATGCGGTGTTTCCATTGACTCTTGCTTCAAACACAGGATCAGATAACTTGGAAGTAGTGCTGAAATCCACAGAGCGGCCTTCGACAGTAACCTGAAATNTAGATCACCTAGGAAATACTGCTAATGATGTCATCTTTAAAAGAGCATGGCTCTATTCTTACCTGCAATAATGCGGTGTTTCCATTGACTCTTGCTTCAAACACAGGATCAGATAACTTGGAAGTAGTGCTGAAATCCACAGAGCGGCCTTCGACAGTAACCTGAAATGACCAAACATTGGATCAGATAGCCTGTCAGTGGTTTTAAAGGTTAATACAGAGCGATTTTATCAGTGTATTAAAGTGGACCTCACTGCACTTCTTTCACAGAGAGGAGCAAAAGCAGCAGAAGGGGATCAGTGACCTACGTAATGGTGTAGAAAACATGGTTACAGCTATTCAAATAAATGGAGGGTCTACAAGAATGACGAACATATAAGCGCATGTAGGATGCGCTGTCGCATGTGCAGTAGCATGCTGACCATAAGCTTCTTCCGTTAGGATGAAGTCACCAATAATTGGCCTTGTTCAAAAATACCATAATACTCTTTGTTGTCCCTCCAAAATTTTGCATAAGCATTGTTTTCAATTTCTCTTCGGCGATTGTAAGTCCCAAGAAAAATTGAAAACAATGCTTGTGCAAAATTTTGGAGGGACAAAAAAGAATAATTTTATGGAAGTTTTGAAAAAGGCCCACTGTCAACAGGTTACTACGTTTGCCAATTTTGCTTCTGTGTATGCTTGCATTGTAACAAGGCTGATATTGTGTAGAAAAATTAGCTTTGCATGACATCAATGACATAGAAACACACAACAGAGCAGGGCAGCACCATAGGTATAGCCTGTAATAGCTATCCTAAAACCTCTGTTCAAAGTCTTTTGTAGCTTAGATGTCCATCCGCGACACAAGCCATTGTAAAGTTTCACACAAACGGCACCAAAGGCTTGTAAAGCCATAGCCTGCGAGCAAGCTCTTCTTTTGGGGGAGTTGCGAGAAATCAAGTGACTGCCGCATACGATAGGAGAGCAAGTGCAAGGGGTCTGTCCCTCACGGCTTTCGCAGCTCGCCCGCGCATTTGCTTGCAGCTCGCTTCGCTAGCCACTCGAAATGGAGAGCTCGCCCACAGTATAGTAAAGCCAAAGAAACTTTAGGATGGCTACAGGCAACCATAGAAAAACATGAGCAAAATTGTGTACCCAATCTACAAAGGCCAAGGATCCCGCCAAAACATAAAAAATAACAATGAAAGAAATATAGTGTACCTTGAAACCTCCTTCGGGTTTTGCCTTTACAATGACGGGATAATCCTCTTTGTTCAAGGTTATCATCAGATCCCAAGACTGTTCCTTCTTAATCACCGCATTTTGTCTAAAACAGAAGCCAAATGTTCACCATATTAATTTGAGTTAGTCCCTTCAAGTGCTTACTTTAAGGTTCCAGCTCTTTGGCGCGGGACTTACTTGTCAACAGGGGCACTTGAACAGGTAATCAAACGACCTTTCTGTTTCACCTATTTGCGCTCAACTTACTTTTCCTGGTTTTTAAATGTTTTAGCCCTCAATGATCTCTGTACAAAGAAATATGCAGTAGTAGCCAATAATTCATCTCTCTCGTGTTCAGTCAGCTGATGTCCTACAACAAACGCAAAAATGGAAAATAGATCAAGACTTGCAACACTGACAGTGACAACACAGGCAGCCCAGCTTACAACCGTACAATTTCAAAAGTAAAGCAGGGGTTGTAACACTGACAGTATCAACACAGGCAACCCAGCTTACCACAGTATTGTTCCCAAAGTAAATCAGGAATTAACACTGACATTGTCAACACAGGCAGCCCAGCTTACTACCATACAGTTTCGACCCACATGACCGAGAACAGCAGCCATAGGTGTTGTTATTTTCGAGTGGTCAATACTCTCTGGTGTCAAAAAATGTCAACTTTTTAGGCAACTTCAAAATAACTGTATCACTTGTTTAAAGGGCAAAATCTGCAGGGCTTAATACTTTAGAACACAAGAGGGACCCCCTCTCTAATAAAGTTCTCCATTTTCAGAGAAAGAAAGTTATTAAGCACCCCCTTCCCCACATCTCCTGTCACCTTATTCTTCACAACCAAATTAAAAACTAATAGAGTGTGTTAATTAATCATGACTGTAACACTTCATGTTCAATCATGTGGACCAATCCAGTATGGTTATTCATGTGCTGGGAGTTTGGATTAGTTTTTGATTTTCAGCTGCATGACCTCCAACTTCATGTGCTTAAGCATTTCCACTTTGTGTTCTAGTTTTCATGGAGGATTGATACCATCTTCAGGTTGTTTGAAAAAGCAGTGTGGTGCCCAGTTTCGCTAAATTAAATAATGCTCTCGGCGCCTCAAACGTGCTTGAAATAAATAAGCCCCCCCCCCCCGGAGGGGTTTATAGCGGATTTACAGTAATTATGAAATGTTGACTACTTTCACACACTTACCTTTAAACCCACTTGGGTACTCCTGTGGCAGAAACTTAGTGGTTATGTCACCAAGACGAAATTTGGGGTGATTCAGGACATCACGGAGCAGTGAAACATTGTATGTCACACCTGAAATATGAAATTAACATTATTTAAACACCCCTTAAGTGTACAGCTATTTCGAGAAAGTGCACGCGACAATCCCGAAAGGTATTGTGGGTGGTTTTGAGTTCACTGTTATTCAGAGAAATTTGAAAGAATGGCATGAGAGGCATGAGAGGCTATGCTTGAGAGACCAACAAAAGTAGGTTCGACAGCTACAGTGTCAGGAACAGTGTATTGATCATATCCCATATTATCTTTCGGGATTATCAAGTGCACAACCTTTCCTGAAATAGCTGTATAAATAGACATGATTTGTGCCCAACAAACCCCCCCACACCCCTGCCCCCTGCTCCTCGCTTACAAACTCCACCATAGAGATCACTGAAACCTGCCGCAGAGAGGGAATTAAGCGGGATGTGGGTGGGGTGAGGGTGGAAGTGACGCAGATAAAACAAGAAAATGTTACTTGCAGAGGGATTAATAATTTCTCAAATAAGACAATCATTATCAATGTGGAAATAATAATTAATTTTTACCAAAAAGTCCGAAAATGGTGGGGTTGCCCTGAGTATCAGGCCTTCCATAGGGGTTAGGGGAGAGTATATTGTAGAGCCGTCTCCCCGTGTCTCTCTCTCTCTTCTCCTATCCCCCCCTCCCTCTGCCCCAGAAATGATAAGGTGGGGTAGGGTTTGAAGGAATATTATTAGGGAACTTTAGCATTGAGGATGGTGATGGCAGCAGAAATGTCACTTTTATATTAAATTCGCCTTTTTTAAACTTTTTCGCGTTTATTCCAATTCACTGAACACGTCAAATGTGGGCGAATTTCTCTAGAATTGACTTGGGGACCACATTCAAGGGAAGGAAAAATCTATAAAACTTAAAATTAGGCATTTTCAAGTTGCAGTCATGCAGCATAACAAGGAAATGTACAAAATAAGTGTGATGGACGTGCAGAGTTGTTGCTTTGCCTAACATATCTGCTGCTTTTTTGACATCCTCGTTTCTGTCACTGATGTTGTTGCTTAAGCTCCCTATCGTCTTATTACATGCATAATGCCATGCGTAGTGAGCAGCAAATCCGCAAGGGAAAATCCTCAAAATTAAGAGATTCACACAGTCCCCACTTGTCCCCAGTCTTGCTGAGGCATAAGAGCCTCAACTAAAACAACAGAAAGCACCTGTAAAATGAATTTATTGTGTGTGATAAATCCCGCCATCTACGCAAAAGACAACAAATATGACAGAGCTAATACCTCTGATAACATAGGAGTCCAGTGCTTTGTTCATCGTATCAAGGGCCTCATTTCTTGTGGCTCCATGAGTTGCAAGCTTTCAAAAAGAAACAGACTTTGGCAAATTAATTTTTAAAAAAATGGTTCACTGTTCACAGTCCTCTATTTTTTTGTAAGCTTGTAAGGATCGAGAGCTTACTGGTATGGGTGACCATATTGGTTTCATAGGTACCCAGAGGGTAGGCATCCACAGTTCACACTCATCCAAGATGGCCGACCGTAACTCAAAGACTTCAATCTCAACGATCTTACAGAAAAATAGGGGACTGTGAACAATCTATAAATATGAATGGGCAAACTTCATGAAACTACTCAAATCACTGGTTATTAAGCTTTACAGGGGATGTATCAAGAGGATATCGCTGTTTCAGTCCAATTCTGTGTCAAAGTTATAGACCATTTTACAGTCATGAGTTTAGCTCCCTAGCCTCTGTGTGAGGCTGAGGATGGCCTTGTTTTGATACAAACTTCTCTCCTTTCCTTATGAAAATCCCGTTAAAAGATAAGAGCTAGTTAGCATAAGAATAACATGGGGAAGGGCTGTATCAAAACAAGGTCAACTCCAGCCTCGTTTGCACCCATAACTGTAAAATAAACTATTACTTTATGCCACTACCCAAATGCAAAGTTTTTTTGTACCATGACAAAGAGAAGAAAAGGAAGTACCAACAAAGAGTTATTGACGTGGAAATGGGATCGTTTACCCCCCTGGTTTCTGACATGAACGGAGAAATGGGCAAATAATGCAAACTTTTCCTGAGCAACTTTATGGACAAACTTTCCCGGAACAATGGCAAGTCTTATGCCAGTGCCATATCTTGGAAAGAACGTGCATATCTTTTGAAATTCTATGATCAGTCCACGCATGTGCTCGAGGGTCTTGAACCCTTTTTCTCAAGAATGCTGACTTTTGAGATGATTTTAGTGTTAATACAAGGAATGCGGACATTTTTAAATTAGTTTTCGTGTGAATTTTAGAGTAGTTTTTTAGACAGTATTTTTATTAGTTGGTTATTGTTATGAAGAAGATAACAAACAACTTCATCAGGGAGAACTAACTTTGATATTTTTTTTCAGTCGGTGACTTCTTGAGGCATATAATTTAAACTATAGTAACTATGTTGAAACTTGAAAAAGTTGGCCAAACNAACAATGGCAAGTCTTATGCCAGTGCCATATCTTGGAAAGAATGCGCATATCTTTTGAAATTCTATGATCAGTCCACGCATGTGCTCGAGGGTCTTGAACCCTTTTTCTCAAGAATGCTGACTTTTGAGATGATTTTAGTGTTAATACAAGGAATGCGGACATTTTTAAATTAGTTTTAGTGGGAATTTTAGAGTAGTTTTTTAGACAGTATTTTTATCAGTTGGTTATTGTTATGATGAAGATAACAAACAACTTCATCAGGGAGAACTAACCATGATATTTTTTTTCAGTTGGTGACTTCTTCAGGCATAGAATTTAAACTATAGTAACTATGTTGAAACTTGAAAAAGTTGGCCAAACTTTTTCAAGTTTCAATCCATGTCCATCCTTGCCATCTGTTGCAACAAACACCAGGAAATAGTTTTAAATAAATGCCTGAATATGGTCTTACAAAAAAAATGGACCATTGTGTTTGGAAGTCAATTGATGCAAAAATAGCTTTAGCCTTTCAAAAAAAAATTGCAAAGTAAAGAGTGATATAATCCATTTCATCAGTGATTAAAAGTTCTTCTGTGGAAAGAAAATGGAAGCTGCATGTATTTTGCGCTGGAAAGCAGTGCACAAAAAAATCAATACCTTTGATATCATGGAATCGTAATAAATGCTAATTTCACTTCCTTCAATAATGCCACTGTCACAACGAACCTAGAAAAAAAAATTAAGAAACAAAAAAATACAAGCTACAATAAATAGGAGAAAGTTATAACTTGAAAAAGATCTATTAATTACATCAGATGAGTGGGACCCTGTTCCCCTTTAGGGAAAATCCATCCTTTTATAATCCCTCCCCACCCTCTCTCACAGCACTACTGTCAAACTCAGAAAACCATTTAAATATTTGAAAATTTTTAGGCATGTTGATTGTATAGTGACCAATCACAATAAAGTTCAGGACACATGAGCAAACCTCAAAACTGCAAACTAATTACTGTTGCTGTTTGCAGTTTAGTTTTCTTATGCCTTATTGGCTTTTTCCTCGCAACACAATAACCTTCCATAAATGCTTCTGGTGTTCACGGTTTTGTCAGTTTCACAGCAAGATGACATAAAACAAAGGAGTCTATAAGTTTGTGGAAGTAAGAGTCTGAGAATCAAAATCAATACTCATCCATGGCCGGTTATTCCAATAACATAGCTATACCATGTAGGGGGTGGAAGAAAACACAACACATTAAAAAAAATACTTACGTTTGGAATATGAGTTGGTTCAATGTACTTGTACAGTCTTCCAATCGATGGCAAACCAAAGTTCTTATATGGATCCTACAAAAAAAATATTTTACTGATCTTTAACCTTTTCCTGTTAATGGACAAAATGCACTATACATTCTGATTGGAGAAACAAATGTTTAAAAACATTGCTTTAATGATAATGATGAAAAATAGTAACAAACTTTTTGGATGCAAGATCACCAATAAGAAAAAAGAATCTTACACATCAAAGACATTTTTGTCTTTTTTGAAGTCTAGAACATGCACCAACCCAAAGAACTGGGAGGTTAACTCACGCTTAAAGTAAGATCTTTCAAAAAGAGTAAGTCAGACCTCAGCATAAACTCTGCATTCCACTGCCCAGCCATTGATTGGAATATCCACCTGTGTGATGCTCAAGGGATGACCTGAAAAGACAAGAGGCTGAATAATAAATTAATGGCATTTAATTTTGGCTAATGTTATTTAACTAAGTTAGCCACCATGAACTTAGCGGTCAAGTGGTCCATGAGCTTAACGGTCAAGCAGTTTATGAGCTTAGCCGTCAAGCGTTCCACGAGCTTAGCGGGAATCCAGCGGTCAATCCCATAACTGATAAGTGCAGGCTCACATGGTGTGTGGTAGCTTTGTACACTGCTAGGATCTTTGAGTTCTTTGTTAAGTGTTTGTGCAACGGTCTGTGGAGCAGTTGCTTTAGTGTCTCATTGTAAGGATTTCAGGGGATGAATCGTGCCCGTTCTTGTATGGTTTGAAACATCTTTTCACCCTTTACAAGTTAAATGAAAAAGTTGTCCATGGCTGTTAAAACTGATGATGTTACAGGTGGTAGAAGGGACGTGGATCTGCACAAGTGGTTTTGGATGATTCAGGGATGAATGAGTTTAAGGGTCAATAAAGGGTTAATCGAGGCATGCTTCAAAAGGCTTGTTTTACTGAATAAAAGGAGGAACAACAGTTGGTAATTGCTGACTACTGAGGTGTATAACATTGTCTACTGGATAAATCACTATCCAATGGAACGTGCAATTGGTTTCCCTAATGCTTATCTGCTAGATAGTGACTTATCCAGTGAATATCACTATCTAACAAACCAGGTCCCGCAGTATTGTCGGATTCAATTTACTGGTATGGATGAAATGGACGCACATGGAATTTATGATCAAAAGGAAGAGCATTTCAGTACCTGCTGCTACTCTGATCATGTGTTCCACAAGATCAACTCCAGCCACCATCTCAGTGATGGGATGTTCTACTTGCAAGCGAGTGTTCATTTCCAGGAAGTAGAAATTCTTCTGCGAGTCAACCAGGCACTCAACAGTGCCAGCCGAGTCATATCCGACTTCCTTAGCAAGAGCTACAGCTTGCTGACCCATGGCTTTTCTCATGTCTGGGTCCACAAATGGACTGCAAGAAAACAAATGCTAGTTTTTAGTCTAACAATAACTTCATTTAGATGACTGCTTAGGTCTTAGAACTAATATAGAATAGCAAAATACATTCACACCTAAACTGCCTGAAAGCCAACAACAGAAAATTCAAAAGGAAATTTCATTCCACTGTGATCTGTATTTCCTTCAAAATAGTATTTCAGGATCCTTAGGGTGTTTGGAAAAACTTTTTCCACCATAAAAAAGCCAAGTAAAATTTACTTGTTCAGAAAAAAAAGAAAAATAGGAAGAAGTGAACTGAAGAGAAAGTTAACAGCCAGTGGGGGAAGTGTCTTGTTTTTGTCCAAATAATCTAGAAATCTCCCCTTCTACACATGGCCAAACTTTAAACACTGTCATTTATTGCCAGCAGGAATAAATGTTAGCAAAGATCTCAACTTTGGGTAGCTTTGCTTGTCACTGACACGATGGCGACCAGAAAACAGCTCAACTAACTTAAAGAGCGTTTTTGGACAAAACTTCTGGTGGCACATTGACTAAAGAAGCACACTTGCTGAGCGATAAACCCATCTTTGTTGAAATTCACAGGACTAGCTATATGACTAATTTCTTTCCTTCAACATGTACTCATTCTAAGAAATGAAGTGAAGTATTGTGTAATCAAGAAGGGAGGATAAATCATGCTTAGCTCCTATATTTTTACCTGGGGGACTCTTCAATGACCTTCTGGTTTCGCCTTTGGATCGAACACTCTCTTTCATTAACATAAACCTATTTTAAAACAAACAAATTCAAAAGTAAACCATGTCTGTCATCAAACTGGCAGCAAAGAATGGTAAGGATTGAATCTAGGTGCCTGTTTTACAGAGGAGTCTGTTAGAGACAAAAATGTCAACTGTTTCAGATTGATAATACAATAATAATAATTAATATATGAACTGGAACTTACAGCATTTCCATGTTTGTCTCCAACCACCTTTTAAGCAAAAAAGAAAGACTATAGCAACACATATACATGTATAGCAATTTGAGTATGTCCACATATTGTACCAAAGCCCTATCCAAATCAATCAATCCTTTAATAATATTGAAATCACTCTTCGACACACTAAGTGCCTTCATACACAGTAGCGAGACAACCCTTGGTTGTGGCAAACAGACTCATGGTGCAAAGGAAGGGAGGGGGAGGGGGAGGGGGGAGAAGGGCGCTGGAGCTGTGTTGCATCAACCTTCCCTTGCATTTCTGGATCAATTTAGGTTTCTGGGAAACTGCCCACCTACCCCTCCCCTAAGCCATCATTTTGCCCTAAGTGTGAATGTTAGCTTAGGGGAGGGGTAGGTGGGATACCTAAATTGATCCCATTTTTCTGTGTTTGGCAATATTTAAAGGATATCACATTTTTGGATGAGGCCATGCTAGGGTAAATTCAACTAGTCTTTGGCATTTATTTTGTGCAGACATATTGTTCATTTAAAATGTTATGTCAGACATAGTTCCCCTCACAATAGTGAAAACCAGGCCAAGAAACATGCTTATCACTACTAAAAAGGCTACTATGGCAGAGAGCCAAACTGAAATTGTGTGTTAATTTAATATGCTCTAGAAGATTATACAACTACAATACAACTGAAGTTATGAATATATGAAAATCACATTATGTGAACTGCAGAGTGAAGAATTGTATGAATGAAGATCATCACAGTTATATACGCAACCTCTACAACTGATAGAATTGCCGCTGAACTCCTACTAATTGTGACCCAGAGTATGTGTTCTTAAATCATATTTCTCGTATGGGTCAATATTCACCTGAATCTCAATATGCCTTGGATTGTCAATAAACTTCTCAACCAACAATCTGTCATCTCCAAAACTTGAACTGGCCTCTTGAGAAGAGAGACGGAACCCTTCCCTGATTAAAAAAAATAATAACAAGAACTCACTATAATTTTATTTGCCTCTGTGGGAGTCTGTGCAACCAATACAAACTTAACTGCAGCATTCATGGTGATCAAGAATTAAAGTAATGATTTGTAATTGACTTCCAACAAAAAAATTATTAATAAGAGTTCAGAGATGCACATGCTGCTTTCAATTCATTCTCTTCTGTCTCTCTCCACCTGAGTAGGATAATTTCATTCAAAATAAATTTATTTCCATAAAAAAGGAGGTGTTTAAAAAGGATGCAAAAAGGGAAAAGAAGAACTTAATATCCCCTGAGGCTTTACTGGTAGTTCCTATAATTATCATTAATAATAATATTATTATTAAATGATAGTATACTCAAGGCAATTATGGTAGGGAGCCCAATGCTCTGAGCCTTTGAAATCCAGGGTGCCCAGTTTATGATCTATGGCAAAAACTGAAATTTTAGAACTAGTCGCCCAGGAGCAAAACTAAGGAGCCAGGGGCCACCTGGTGCTGCCAAAGAACAGCCCTGATACTAATTGGTTTCTTCACAATTTATTTCAAACACTGGGCTAACAAAATTTCTACAAAAAAACTATCATGGCTTATACTTCTAATATTAACCTTACTGCAAATTAAGGTAAATTTTACAAATGTGACATACTAGCAGACATATTATTATATACCGGTAGATCCATAGCTGAAAACAAATGAGACCAACTTTTTATTCCTATTTAGCAATACCAAGGCTGCACTCTAAGGAAAATTGAAGGGAGCCCAGTGCTCTGAAACTGTAAAATCTAGGGTGCCCAGCATATGAGTTGTATGAAAAATCTGTGATTTTCTATTCGCCCGAGGGCAAAAGTTTGGCGCCAGGGGCCTGAATACATGTGATAATAATAAAAAAGAGTTGCATGTAATTGAAAACAGACAAGATATCTCACTTAGTTTCATCATCATTCCAAGCAATCCTCATTCCTTTACCACCGCCACCAGCAGAAGCTTTTATCATCACAGGGTAACCAATTTCATTAGCTATCCTAACTGCATCCTCATCATCCTACAAAAACATTATAAATTAAAAGTCACCTTAGACTGTATTACAATCATATAGACTGCAGAGCTGTAACCCATAACACCTGTTATGGCTGAGCTTACTTGATATTATGGGTGACCAAAGTAGAAAGCTAAAGATGACACAGAAACTGTTTATTTTTAGTGAGATGTCACTGGTAAACTGCCATTTGCTATGGTTGCTTCAAAACATAGTGACAGCCCTGCACTGTACATAAACATATACCTGCCAACTTTATCTGAGTCAAATACGTGAGATTTTTGTCTTGTCATGACCGGGACTTCTGAAATCGTCACAGCAAACATTACTGAAAATGTGCGAAGATGTTCTGAAAACCATTGAGCACATCCGAAGCTATTCAGAAGACGACAATTTTAGTGTGTTTAGTTTTCATTAGAACACAAAGTCATTATTCAGCATCTATTTGGAATATTTTCGGGGAAATTGAATTGAGTTTTCCTTATTTATCATGTGTTAAGGAACAATTCATCCAGATTTGTGAGTCAAGTGTGAGAGATTGTACTTGATGCATGAGATTGATGTCTTTAGTCAGCAGGCATGAGACTCACATACATGTTATCAACCCTCCAAGTTGCAACCATTTTAGTCATCATGGCGCCTAAAATTTTGAAGCTGGCGACTTGATTTGTAAAAAAGTTTCCCTAAACCAACAGAACTGGTCACCAAATGGCGGCCAAGCAAAAACTTTCACTTGGAGGGTTGGTAATGTGGGAGAGTTGGCAGGTATATAAATATGACTTATCCTTTGTGAAAACTATGTAATCCATTCATGGCTTGGTAACTCTTGCCTTCACCCTTACCCAGGAATAATGTCGAAATAAGTGGGCTGCTGGCTAATTTTACCAGCTGAAAAAGACCTACTCACAGCTTAAAATTGCTTGGAAAGCAAAGACATGTCGTAATTTTGAAGATGCAGTTGAGTTAAGAGGCCAGCTTGACTTGTAATAAAAGCCTGCTTAGTTTTCCTTAGCTAAAACTATGCTTATCCTCCAGTAGCACCATCGAAAAAGGAACATTCCTTTTTTTAATTTATAAAAGAAAAGATAGTTGATTTTTAACAATACTGATTTGTTCACTCACTGGCTATTCTAGCATTGGCTTTGTTAACTGTTATAATATATGTGACCTCTCATGCGAAAAAAAATCGTTATTTTATTTTTTTAATTCCTTATTGTTCATTATGATTAAATTTTATGATAAACAAAAACTTGGATTTATAGCTTAAAGTGCAAGTATTAATGAAATAAATAATGTCTTGCAGCTCACTTGCCTTAACAACTCCTTCAAATCCAGGGATGATACTGACACCAGCCTTCTTGCCAATCAGTTTGCTTTGAATTTTATCTCCCATTGCTTGCATTGCAGCAGCATTGGGACCAATGAATGTCACACCAGCCTTTTCCTGTTGTTAAAAATAAACAGAAGAGTATGCTTTTGTGTAACCAAATGTTAAATTTTCTCGCAACAGCAGCAACAAAAAAGTTATGAGAATTAGTAAATTGATCCCCAGAGGGAAAATGCTTTGACCTCTTATTAAAATATCTCAACTTATTCTTTTAGAAAATGCATGGGGATTAGTGATTCATAGTTCACGTGACCAGTGTGTAACTAGCCCCCCGCCTCCCCAAGTCACTCAGTCAGTAAGCCAGTCACGCAGCCACTCATTCAGCCAGTCAGTCAGTCAGTCAGTCTGTCAATCAGCCAGTCATGCAGTCAGTCAGCCAGTCACTCAGTAAGTCTGTCAGTCAGTCAGTCATTCACTCAGTCAGTAAGTCATTCAGTCAGTTAGTCAATTAGCCAGTAAGTCAGCTAGTCAGTCATTCAGTCAGTCAGTCATCTAGTCAGTCATCTAGTCAGTCAGCCAGTCAGTCAGTCATTAGCCAGTCGGGCAGTCAGTCATTCAGCCAGTCAGTCAGTCAGTCAGTCAGTCAGTCAGTCAGTCAGAATTGTTTAAAGTATCATTTCGTGTTTAACCACTTTTTTAACTGGTTCTACATCATCTGAAAGATACACTAAAGGAAAAAGATACACTATATGAAAGAAAAAAACATTATTCACCAATCTAGCCACAAACTTGCTGTTTTCTGATAGAAAGCCATATCCTGGATGGACCTGAAAAGAAATGTATCACTTTAAGAAGTCTGTCTGATCCTTCAATGTCAAAACTTCATTGTAAACGTAAATGATCTAATAGACAACTGGGGCATTAATTTTTATTTAATTTTAAGGGCCCAGGAAGGAGCATTCAAACGATAGGAGGAGTTTTTAAAAGTAAGAGGCATTTTTTTTTGCATAACTGTAACAAGCTAAACAAAATACATGTAATGTAAAATGCTCTGGGAACAGTACAATATCCAGTGCATCCTGAAGGCATCAAGTACATCAATAAATCAATAGATTTAAAGCAAAATAACAACTCTGCTTATGTAACACACTTTTTTTGCATATCTCTTTGCCTTCAGTGAATGCCCATGATGTGAAAATGCCTAATTTTTTGTATTATGGAGGACATAAACAGGCGACAATGAAATTTTTTGTCTTTTTCAACTTGAACATTCAAGGTTCTTAAAATTCAACCCCAGGAGGGTTCATCTACAAATAAAGGAGGTTGGAATAAACATGATGAAGATTTGCCTGAATAAAATTGAGGAGAAAACAATATAAAATTAAATGCCAGAATAGGTAGTCATAAATTATATTACTCACTGCCTGTGCACCAGTTATGTTGATTGCTTCCATAATGGCGTCCATGTTCAGGTAGCTCTGATTTGTTGGTGGTGGGCCTACACAAAATGACTCGTCAGCCATTTTTACGTGAAGCTGGAAAATAAGTTACATGCAAAGTTAATGCTGGTGCTTAAAATATGACAGGTGAAAGAGAAAGGCTCCGCAGGTAAGTCTGCTTTATATCTTACAAAGATCAATTTGTTTACTAAGGAAACAAAAGAATCTTTAACAGCATCCAACTAAATTAGGGCATAATTAACTTTAGCAAATCACACGAACAATTTTAATGCCAAAATTTTAAGAGGCGTTTTACACTAATAATAATAATAACAACAATAATAATAAAAATAATAATAATAATAATAATAACATTAACATTCGTAGACCTCATCAAGACATTGAAGAGAAGTTAACTGCTTGACTTTTATGGAGATGTGGGTGGGCTGATTACCCGGAAAAACCCAGGCCAGTGCAAAATAAATAATGATGGTAACGTCTGGGACACTTTCCAAAGCCAGCCCTTGTTTGTAAGAACTTAAGTGCACTAACCACACTTCTGTACTTTTTCCTTGTTGATATATAAGCGGTAAGGTGCTGCCTGCATGTTCTAATGCAGATTTTATAAGACAAGAATAGACTGAACATTTATTTAACATTTTGACAAGCACAGCGTGAATCACTCCAGCAAATTAATATTCTCAAAAACTTATCAAAACATACTGCATTGGCATCAGCTTCACTGTATATTGCTACAGTTTTGATTCCCAGACGCTTGCATGTTTTCATCACCTGAAAACGATATAAAAAAAAACGATATAGGGCGAATTCATCATCACAGTCATAATTATACTGTTGATAGTACAAATTATCTTACCCTGCATGCTATCTCTCCTCTGTTAGCTATCAAAACTTTATCGAACAGCTGAAAAACAAAATCAGAGACAATAAAGGGGTAGCTGGTACCTTGAATAAGCATGTAAGCAGGTTCAAGTTATAACGGTTTTACTCTACCATTCATTTATCAATATTTTGTTTTGACTTTTGTAATAATTAAAAGTGGCACCATGAGAAAAATTTTGACATTAACATAATTTTTCAGACTGACATGTAATCTAAGGTAAAAAGGTAGAGGCGTACATGAGCCAAAGGTCCAAATGGCCTGAGCTTATCCCAGTCTTGTAAGGCCATCCCCCGCTTCCTTTTCATTTAGTGTCGAATGCGTTTCCTGATATTGGGTCTGTCAGTCGGATTGAAAAAAAAAATCTAAAAAAAAAAATCACAAGAAGTCTCGGAATAGGAGACTCTGGAACCCCAGGATGACGTTAAAAGTTAATATTCACATAATATTTTTATTTGCATTAACAAAATGCACAATATACTGTAAAAAAATGTTCCTGTCTTTGTTCCTGTTTTTCTCTATGCTGTTACTATGCTCATTTTCAGATTAAAAGAATTATTTCATGTGAAAAATGGTTTAACTACGTCATTAAATTTTTTGTTTGTGAAAATGCCAAAAATTTGGGTCAGTCAGATGACGCTAAACAGAGAAAAAAAAAGAGGATGGCTTTAGCATGAAGCACCTACAGGTAATGCTACTCCCCCCTGGATGAGATGCTAGTCCATTGCAGGGTTACCTCCCATCAGTATGTCGCCGATACCCATTTATACACCTGGGTGAAGAGAGGCAAAGTGGAGTAAAGTTCCTTGTCTAAGGGGACAATGTGACGGGCAAGGCTTGAAACCTGGACCTCCAGATCTGGAGTTCAAGGTGTTAACCACTCGGCCACACATGCCGCCACATGTAATCTAAGACTACAAACTAATCAGAATAAAGGCTCTTATAAAACATTTTTGTGATTTTGAAGTGTTTATGTACAGTGTAGTTATCACAGGAAATGGAAATTCAATAAACTGCACACCTTTTCTCTGGCAATACTTGAGGTCTGCAAACCTCTAAAGCATGCCTGCTGATATCCATTGAAAAGATATGTTCTTTGCTGTTGAAAAAATCGACAACACAAAAAGATCTGACATCAACAGTATACAATAAAGACTAAGAATGTTATCAATCTATCCTTAACCTTCTTCACCTTCTATCAGCATGTGGATTATGCATAAGTATTCTCCAAACAGTCTTCTACACTGTATGCAGTTAGTATGGTATAGATATAGACAATTTGCTTACCAGTCAATTAACGTTGTTATGTTTACTTAGATGCTGATCATCGTAAAGAATTAATTGTGGGTCAGGAACCTACTGTTGACCAGTGTGGAGATATTTAACCATTTCACTCTTACTGTTCAGTTATAGAGAGAAGTTACTTAGTTCTACCACTGACGTTGCGAAATCCTGTGACCATGTGTTTATTCACAGCGGTAGATATAGGGACGTAACTAAGGAAAAGCCAAGTCAATTCAGCAAATTATTTTTACTGATCTGTACCTTAAAATTAACTCAATTGTTTTCCAGAGCAATTTGAGCTGGAGATATGGTCGTTTTCATGTAATGGAATAAGCTGGTAGCCAGCATCACACCAAGAAAACTTTTTTTTTTCATGTCCTTTGCAAACAAGCCAATCTGCTTGTCTTTTCCTGTAAATTTCTTAACTTTTTCTATGTTTGGATTTTGATTCAGAAACCATCTGTGTAAGAAAAGCTTGGGGGTGGCCCTGATACCCAGGTCACAGAAAATTTGCTTATGCCCCACCCCCAGACTAACAAGGCTGCAATGCAAATGCTCAACATTTAATAAGCTAAGGGAGGGGGATGGGCGAAGATGGAATTGACTGATGCATAACTTTTTTGCTGGCAATACACTACTAAGTTGCTGAGAGTAAAATGTGATTCCTATGAGATGCAACTTTTCTGCTTATCTACGTGACAAGCTATATTGCATTCAAGATCAATAATTTGTCCATAAGAAATAGCAGTTATCAAGGGAATTAAAAGACAAAATACAGCATGAGATTGAACAACGATTTCCAGTTATGCAATCTGATTTGGCTGAAATCGATTAGACAAAATAGGCATTCCCATCTGGCTGAATAGCAAAAGGTAACGCAATGAACCGAAAGTGCCCGGCTGAGAGCAAATTAAAGAATTATTGTTATTATTTATTTATTTTAATTAGAACTATGGGTGTCCCGTTAAAGATTCAGCTTTCGATTAACCAAAAACAAAACCAGTAATTATTAGGGGACTTGTTAAGAAACTTCTCAGATTTCTGGAGATTGGTTTTAAAAATAATAAGCTTATAGCCAAGTTCATTTGTATGCATGAGCAACGTGCAGTCTCACACGACAGAGTAGAAAATGCTACTAACTAACAAAATAAAGGCTCCCTGTGCAAAAAATAACAGATAAACATTCTAAACCATAAAATTACAAACTAACCTTGCAAGTTCTACAAGCTCCTTGAACGAAAGACGATAGACCAAAGCCGATACCTCTGGAAGCCATCGCCATGTTCAACTCTTGACCTGGGAGCCTGTCATGCTTGATTTCAGCGGATACAGATTGTACCGCAAGAGACTGGAAACTAGCGCCTTGTAAGATACGCAGAACGAGCGCAGAAAGACGTCGATGATTTTTGTCCTGCTTTTGGTAGTCGATTGCTCGTCGTAAAAGGTAAATGACATTCTTACTTTAATGAATTATTACATTTAAGTGTTAAGCTACGTCCTGATGAGCTTCAATCTTTTATTTGGTGGGTTTTCTACACAATTCTCTCGTGATCGTTTAATCGTTCTCTCTAGCATGTTTTACAGAAACGTGCAAAGTTTTTGTTTTCTTTAAATCTTAACTCATCTGTGTCTGTTGTTCAGATCATGATCATTCCAATTCGCTGCTTCACTTGCGGAAAAGTTATTGGAAACAAGTGGGAAGCTTACCTGGGTTTACTTCAAGCAGAATACACAGAAGGGTGAGGAAAATAAAGTGGGGTATCCAATGTCAGAAAATTCGACCCCCCGGACAATTAGCCCCCGACAACTAGCGCCCACATTATTAGATTCCAGTTTCGAACTGGGCTGGCTGTTGGGGGCGAATCTTCTGGGGGGCGAATTGTCTGACGTTCTAAAGTTGCTTAGGAGTTGGCTTTGTGCTTTATTGAGAGAAATATAGAAGATATCTTAGGAGCTGGCTGCATGGTATGGTGGAGATGTGATTTACCAGTGACACCTACCCTTCGAAGCCAAAGATTGATTGTGGTGTTTGATGAAGCAGGGTTTAAAGAGAAACTCCAGACCTAAGGAATTACAATTATTATTATTTGATAAATATGTTTAAAATTACTTTTTCATCAGCACTTGTTAATTGGATACAGAAAAGAACTTTCCAAATGTTCATGCGACTTTTCCATCACTCATCCAAAGTAATCAAGCTAGCAAGAAAGTAATAAAAGGAATACTTGAATTTGCTTCATTCTGCAAGCTCAATAAAATGATTTTATTTGCACTACTGTAGATTTCCAACTTGTACAGCATGTTTGGAACGTCTGTGAAAAAATAACTGAACAGGACATCTGTTAGTGACAGAAAATATAGATAGAAAAAGAAAAAGAAAAAGAAGGAAAAAGGCTTACAGTCAAAAAAAAATTGCCATGCATTGAACTATCCAAATGGAAAACGTTATGCCAGAGGCAGCATTCTTTGTATTTAGCCGACTGTGCCACGGTGACCTTCACTGATTCAGGACTTATGAGATTTACAGTAGCTTGCTTGTGACTTGGCCTGGTAGATATCTTTATAGATCTGGGGTTAATTAAATAAAGCTTTTACAAGTGTAATTTACAAGTGTAGCTATTGTTTTCAGACTCTAAAACAATGGCTACACTTGTTGTACACTTGTTGCAGATGTAAAAGTTTTATTAAATTGACCCTTGGTCCCAGCTGTTCAAAAGGTGGATAGTGCTATCCACTGGATAAATCACTATCTGTTGGATAGCGCAATTGGTTTCCCTAATATTTATCCACTGGATAGTGATTTATCCGGTGGTTAGCACTATCCAGCTCAAATCCTTGTACACAGGTGAGGGCCAGAACAAGGATTTTGGCCGTGTTTCACAGACAGACTTAACCAGAGTTTAGTTTCATCTGTGGTGAAGGCTAGCCCAGTGACTATTGTAAGCTGAGCTTGGTAATCTTTATCTGAAGAACTTTTTATTTTTTGCAGAGATGCTTTGGATGCACTTGGACTAAAGAGATACTGTTGCAGAAGAATGCTTCTTTCACATGTGGACTTGATTGAAAAACTGTTGAACTATGCACCGCTTGAGAAATAGACTAAGGATCTTAAGAAACACATTGAGACTAGAAAATAAATATATTTTTTTGCGCCAAATAATGCCTGAAAGCACCAGTTATCTTGTAGTTAAAAAGTCACTAGTTCCAGTTTCTTGCATCTAGCTTGTATAGTGCCTTGCCACTTCATTATTTTGTATTTTATAGCAAAATGACTTGAGCTCAGTGTTTACCGGTATTTATTAAAGTAATTAGCTTTGAAAGTTCCTCATTGAAAATTAATATCCTTGTTGTACCACACAGAATGCCCTTATGCAAATAAAATTAATTGCTAATATGGAAGCTCTCCATACTTGAACTGTAGGTATTTATTTTAAGACAGGATTTAGCTACTGCTTTTTTCACTTTGTATTATGCTGTGAGATTCATATATGAGAAGCTGCTTTATAACAAAGACTCTCACTGGTGTGACAAGTGATTAAAAAAGCTCTCAACTGAGATGTTGAAGCAAGTTTCATGCTTCCTAAATTAAAGGGACTCCTAGAAGGCTAGCTAGGCTGTGGGAAATGGGTTTTATCTTTGAGGTAGGATTACTCAGAAACAAGCTAAGACATATTGTTTTGGTGAAAAGTGCTTTATTCAAACTACTGCTTTGCAAACACTTGTTTAATTTTGTACCCTGATTG